GTAAATTTTGAATCTAAATAGTTGAATTTTAATTTCGTAAACAAATGCAAAAAAAACAAACATTCAGCTCAAGCGGTGCAGTCTCAAGATATTTTCAAGTTGTCGTCTTCTCTCCTTCTCCACCAGTTATTATGGTCGCTGTGATTGTTTTCTAATTTCCATCTGATTTGGCTAATTAATTGTAGTTGTTTATAAATTGTTTTCAATTCGATGAGACCTACACTGCTTTGAGTTATGTATATGAAGTTTAATTAAAGGCATGAGCGTACATACTAAGCATTATATAAACATAGAATCTGAAATGGAAACGAGAAAGCAAACAACATTAGGAACCAAGGTTTAGATAACAACATCCACAGAATCCATCCACACACAAAAAGCTACTTCAAGTTAGTTTGTTCGCAAAAAAGCCTATTTTAAAACCCTAATTTACTAGTCTTAAAGCTATTTCTTATAACTCCAAGTTTCCTACTTCATGGCTCAAGAAAACATAACCTATCATCCAAACGTGATTTGGGGGGAAATTCCATTAGAGGAAGTGAGGACCAATGAGCTTTGCAATCTCCAGGAACCCAACCCGTTCTTTCCCATCGAATATCTTCTTCAGCTTCTCATCACACAAGATATCCCTCTTGTTTTGTGGGTCCTGAAGAACAACATTAGCCAGTTAGTCAAATTCTGATGCAAGTGAAACATCAAACAGTCTTGTATTTCTAACTTGGAACTTTGAGACATGCTAATGATAGAATATTAAAGAGCTTTCTAAGAGAGTAACACGCCAAGCTTTGGGTATTAGGTTGTTATAAACTCTAGAACTTGCAGAAAAAACAGCTTCCTGAACGCTTTTAAAATATTATAGAACAAGAATTTCAGGAGCTGGAAAAGCTCTATCTTGAAATGTCAATCTACTAAACAAACACTTTGAAAACCGAAACCAAGCAGCAACAATACCAAGAAATAGAGATCAAAACATCAAGAAACACGCAGCCAAACATGCTCAGGATGTGAAAATGTACGAGCTCAAAAACTTATACACAAAGATGTTCATTTCAACTTTTAAGTTCAAGGAAAATGAGGCCAAGATAAAACATGATCCCAATGAGAGGGAGTGACTACAGAACACACAGGGTTTCTGATCGAACTAGATCCCACATAAGTCAAACTGGTATAGGGCAATCTCTACTAGTACTAAAGAAAAAGGCTCAAGAACATAGGGCGTGAGACAAATATAAGTCATCTCAAAAAGAACCCACATTGTCAAACATGTAAACGAGACTCAATCAAACAATCAAAACTGCTTATACAAAACGTTATCAACATCTACCCACAGAATCATACGAACCAATAGGTCACTAATAAGAAACAAATAGTATACAACATCTTCACTCCCAGTAAACACTTCATATAAGAAATTAAAACCACCCCCAAATATCCAATTCTCAAGGTGTCTGCTTGAAGCCATACCCTCAAATTTTCCTAAAAGAAACCCTAGAATTTGACCCTCAAAAAACACCAAATACCAAAACAGATTGAAGAAAGCAATCACATAACCCTAACCCAGAACAAAAGCAGAGTGATTAAGAGAGAGAGGTTTGATTTACTTGAAGGTCATTTTCCTTTATGTAAGCCCAAATACGCTTGAGAGCTTGGGTGCGAGGGATTTCCGACAGTCCGACAACGTCCTGCATCTCCGGAGACACTGGTCGAGGCTTCATGATACCGCGTGGCACTTTCTTATTGGTTGCCGCGGGCTCCGAAGACGCCGTCGCAGATGTTACCATGCGTAGTTTAGCCGGGTGAGAGGCTAGCCGGAGAGACAAAGGACTCGATTGGCTGCGAAACGACGCAGTTTTGATGCAGAGGAAAGTGGTGGAGAAAGTTCCAGAAGAAACCGCCATTATCGCTGCCTGCTTGTGTCGGTGTGGTGGGTGGATTTGGAAGACGAAAGGGGGTTTTGTGTTATCCTCTGTTTTTTTAGGGTTTTGTCAAAAACGAGGAGAAACATTTGCCCCTTCCAATTTTCTGGAAAAATTGTTCAAAAGCCCCTGGGTTTTGTTAAAAATAAGGAAACAACCTGAACATTTTTAAATTTTAAACGAATTTTCAGTTTCCCTAATCTTTTTTTTTTTTTTAAATCATCCAAAACAAATCACAACGTTAAGAGACGTTAACACTTTTAATAATAGTCTACCAAATATATATTTTTTTTTAAAATGCATTGTCTTTTTATACAAAACAATGTGTGAGAAAAGTTTGATTGATCGACCAGCAAATTTTACAATAATCAATACCATTATATGATCAAAATCCAACGAACCAACGCACTAAAGCATAATGATTCCTTCTCAAAACATTGTAGTCCCTACATGAAAATATGTAGCGAAAACCTCAAAAGCATACCAACATTGCTTTTTTGTAGTTGGCTTCTTTCAACACAATGAACTAACGGATAACACATTATAAACTCATATAACTCACAAGCAAGATATAAGATTAGAGAATTAGATTTGTAATCACTCTGCATATTTAAACTTCTTAAATGAGGAACATGACTCGTTTTGCCAATTGATGAAAACTCATAAAATTTCAAAAGATAACGTTCCACGAAACTCTTTTTTTTTGTTCTTTAATTTTCAAAATAGTAAAAAAGATTACCTAAAATATTGTTATTTTTCTTCGCTGTCCATTGATCAACTTCAACTCCACAATCACATTTCATTGTCTTTGGAAACCCAATCTTTTCATCATGCCACTCATGATCATATGACTTAAGATTGATTCATGTTTAATCCTTCGTAGCATTTAAAGTATGTTTGTTCGGTTAAATTAAACATAGCCTTCTTTTTTATTTTACTAGAACACAAAAATAATCTTATTTTTTACTTCAGACGTACGCATACAAAGTGAAGAACTCACAATTTCATATATCTAGAGCCGGTTCTTGGTATCAATGGGTTCCGAGCAAACAATATTTGCTGGGCCACTAACAAATTATTATTTTTTAAAAGATATATAAAAGACACTAACCAACTCAATTATTAAAATTTTCATTTCGAAAAACGACCGATTAAAAACTTAATATATCGAGGACCGCAAGTCAATACTTGACGAACTATATTCATTAAAAATGTGTTTTTTTTTTGTTAAAGGGTTTGCTATTCATTACAAATGTTAATGAGTGATTTACATTACACTTAAATCAAATTTCAAGTCTTAATAAGTTGTATCAAAGAGTGGTTCATATGCATAGTATATTTAGTACTAATAGATTAGATTTTGGTTTCCCCATTGAGCAAAGATATGCCATTTTTTTTGGAGAAATAACTTTTTTCCTTCTCTTTGCAATTTTTCTAATAAAAATACCATTTGCAATTTATACACCTTGATTTAT